GCTCAGTGCCTCCAAATCCGAGGCCATGGTCTTGAGCCGGAAAAGGGCAGAGTGCTTTCTCCGGGATCTGTAGGAAATCTCATCTTTTAACTGGATGTGGAACTTTTAGAGATAAAATCAAGAGCAGCTGATCAGAATGATTTCTTTCTTTGTGAAAGAGGAGATCTGGTGGAGATTTTCTGATTAAAAAACATGAGTTTTACATCAGATTTATGGTTTTCTTAGTCTTAAAACAAACACTTTACAGGGGCTTCAGGTTTTTGGGTCAAAATGATTGTTTTGCCAATCTCCTGTGAGTGTTGGACTCTTGTCTTTCTCATCAATTTTATCCTAAAACTTGATCCTTCTTTGGATGAAAAGTTACTGTATATTTGATTTGTGCACACATTTCCCCACAGACCTGTCCTCCAGCCTGTGGCACATCTGATCCCTGCATCTCCAGCAAACCAACAGATGTTTGTCCAAAGAATGGAGGAACTAACAGATGCACAACTGATAAAACTAAATCCAACTACAAGAAAGGAGTGAATAAAGCTTAAAACAGAAACTGGGGTCAGTTCAGGTAAATATAACAGAAAATATCTTAAATGTTGCTTTGGTTTTGTTTCATTTTGAAGTTCATTGTTCTTCAAGCTGAAGTTTGGGACATTTGATACTCGGTCCTTTGTGAGAACATCCTGCTGTTGTTACCTTACAGGTGTTTAAGGTATGTGCTGCTCATCTCTGGAAGGTCTCAAGTGTCTGTTTGAGCAGGAAGAAGAGCTCCTGTCAGGGTTTCAGGTCATCTGCAGGTCTTCTGGATCACGCGTCTCAGGGTTGTGATTTTCAACTCAGCCGAGGTCGGACATGACACCATCCTCTTTGTTTGGTTTGGGCTTTTAACGGTTAAGTCTCTGTCCAAAACCAAGTCAACTTTGCAAACAAGAAATGCAACGTTTGAGCTTGAACTTGTGTAAAGTTCTGCAGAAGCACTGAGGTCATCAGGAGAAGAACCTGATATGAGGAAAGAGCAGGAACTGCACAGCTATCTCACTGGGGACATTCCATTGACTTCCATTACATTTCTACAGTCTAACCCTGACAAACCCTAAGGCTAACYTCACAGGCTGACCCTAAAACTAACCTAAACTCAATTCACACCTTGGTCCTAAACCCAACCCCCAACCCACCAATGGCATTTAAACCAAATGGAGGCTCAACTTTTGTCCCCAAAGGTAGGGTTTTTGTCTTAAAATTGCCCCCAAATGTCACCAGAAACAACCCCCACCCCACCCACACACACACACATATGTTTGTTCTTGAACTCTGTCGGGACCTTCCATTGACTTTCATTCTTTTTTTTAGGCTTTATATCCTAACCCTGACCATTTACCCTAAAATTAACCTCACAGGTTAACTTGATCCTGTATTCACACCTGATAATTTGCTCCGCTTTAAACGAACCAGAGTTCGTTTCCAGCGTTGGTCCGGACATTTTGTGCAGGTGTGAATACACTCGTGCGAACTCTGGTGCGGATCAAACAACTGAACCGAGACCTGCTTTTTGAGGTGGTCTCGGTCCGCTTCCAMAYGARCTCTGGTGCGGTTCACTTCAGTTCTCTTCTGGTGTGAATACAGGCCGGACTCGAACCGAACCAACTGCATAAAACATGCGCATTTTTGGACCTCACAGGCCACCGTTGCTGAGCTAAATAAACTGAAAACACACCTGTTTCGTTGTCTCCTGTTAGCAGCTCTGCTGGCAGCTTGTTGTGGGTCAGAACACGCAGCGCATCTCGTCTCCTTTGGGTCGCGGGACACATTTATGTGACGCCGCTCCAAAATTAGAATATCATCACGGAACCACYATTWAATTAGCTGCTTCTGACATTTTAAATGATATTGCAGTTGTACTCTCAGCACAACTGTGTGCATCAGAACAGCAACAAGCAGGAGTTCCTTGTTTTCTTCTGGGTCTGTGGCTTAGCCCCGCCCCCGTCCTTTCTGTCCAATGGGAGCAATGATCGTCACCCTCGTGACTTTGTTTACAAGTTATAGTTCATTTACAAAAAAGCACAATGTGAATGCTACGGAGCTCGCGAGGGGACGTGGGGGGATTTTTTTTCTTTTGTGTTACCTCGCAAAACTTGTTGCGTTACCTCGCAAAATTGCTTTGCATTCCCACGCAAAAGTTTGTTTTGTATTTGAACTGAAAATCAGACTTCTATTTTGAAATATCCGGTTACCAAACAGGATGTGTCACCACAGTTCGTGAAATTGATATTGATGTTGCGTGGCTGTACTGTGTTAAAATATCAGCATATGACACACTTCCATGCGTGGCTGTGTGATATATTCATTCTGAAGCTGAATTAAAGCAGTAGGCTAACTCGATAATGGTGAACATGTGAGTTTGTTAATAAACCGGCAGGCACAACAGTGATAAATGATTTTTGCGTGGGAACGCAGAAGAAAAAAAAATCTCCCGTGTCCCCTCAYGGGCTCCGTACATGCAAACCGCACCAAACGGAAAAATTAAGTCCACTTTTGGTCCGGACCAAATAAGCGGACCAAAGGACTTTCCTGGTGTGAATACACCCTAACCTAAGCCTTGGTCCTAAACCTAACTGTGGGGACCGGGCATTGGTCCCCACGATGCACGTTCGGTCCCCACGATAAAATTTTTGTGAAAAATTTCCCCACGATGTAGGAAAAACAAGGCTACACACACACACACACACACACACTCAGTACCAAGTAGGGGTGTAAGAAAATATCGATACACTGAAATATCGCGATATTTCGTTTCCCGATACTGTATCGATGTTCTAAAGTCCTGTATCGATATTTAATWAAGGTTTAAAATGTCAACTTTCCTGCCAGCCGTTCATTTTTATGTTGTAGTTCAGCCTCAGACCACTAGTTGGCAGCAGTGAGCCAGCCATTTGGCTCCTCTACCTCTTGAGCGCCAGAGAGTCAGAGAGCATTAGCATTGTAAGTAAACATTAGCTTCATGCTCCGGTAGCTGAATCTGAGCAGAAAAGACCGACTCCCTCTGTCTTCTAAGCTGAAGTAAGGTTACGAACAGTTACTTATTTGTCAGAATGTCTCTATTTTAAACCAAATTAAGTGTCTCATGCACTCTTTTTTCCAACTTTAGTCAGCCTTCACGTTACAGAAGGCTAGCGCATGTCTATGTAATACAATTTTCTGAGACAATGAATTTTGGTTTTTCATTTTTTTTCCAGTAAGAGGTTTTTATTTAATAGAATTTTTGGACCAAAAAAAAAATCGCAATATATCACCTTGCTTACAGTATCGCAATATATCGGGATATATCGTATCGTGACCCGTCTGTCATGATATGTATCGTATCGCCAAATTCTTGTCAATACACAGCTCTAGTACCAAGTTAGAAATGTATTCAGAGCAACGTGATACATCAGGTTTCTTCCCGGTTGAGAGTGACTCATCACCTGCTAATTTGAGCCTGGTTTACATCATTAGGAGGTAAAAACTGAAGGCATTAAATGTTGTAATGTTACATTTCACAGCTCTGATGTGTGTTTTGATGTCACATGCCTTTTGTCTTCACAGAGACACACCTGTTAGATTTATTAAAGGAATTTTCTGACAGAGTTAATGTGACTCACCTGATGAGATTACTTCGATTGTTGACGTTGAAGCAGGTGGACGAAGCGTTTTCGCCTCCTGTAGTTCCAAACAATCAAATTAAAAGGTTTAAAACAAGTGAAAACATAG